AGTTTCATTTTATGTCCTCTATTAAATTCTTACCTCTCCTCATTATTCAGTGGTACCTCTAGGGCTAACAATATGCATCCTTAATGGGTCTACATGGTGTCAATATTGTAACTGTTTGCTCTTCAAATCTGACACTGTAAACTTTCTCTCCCACTACTCACTTCCTACTTTCCACTTTCTCCTTCTTACTTCACAAATGTAATAACCATACAACAGCATAATTCCATTCGCCTATCCTTGTCTTTTGTACAATTGTTTTAAAGCATATTACAAAGGAAAAACATAGTATTTTATGCTTACACAGCTATTTATTGTTTCCAGTGTTGTTCTTTCCTTTTTACAGATGTAAGTTTTCATCTAGTATCATTTCCCATCAGACTAAATGATACCCATTAGCATGTTTTCAGTGCAGTTCTGCTGGCATCATCTTTTCTCAGCTTTCAGGTGTCTCATTATGCCTTTACTTCACCCTTGTATATGAAGGATATTTTCACTGGACATGAGCTGACAATCTTTTTTTCCTTTTCAGGACTTTAAAGATGTCTTTCCATTGTCTTCTGGCTTCTGTTTATCTTCATATAAGTCATTCATAATTCATAAGATTGCTCTCCTGTATGTAACATATCTATTTTCCTCTGATTACTTTCAAGATTTCCTCTTAATCTTTGGATTTCAGCACTTTGACTATTATTAACTTAGGTATGATTCTTTTGGTGTGGAAGACTGGCCCTGACCTAACATCTGTTTCCAATTTTCCTCATTTTTTTTCTCCCCAAAGCCCCAGTACATAGTTGTGTATCCTAGTTGTGAGTCCCTCTAGTTCTTCTCTGTGGGATGCTGCCACAGCATGGCTTGATGAGTGGTGTGTAGGTCCACACACAAGATTCAAACCAGTGAACCCCAAGCCACAGAAGTGGAGTGTGCAAACTTAATCACTATGCCACCGGCTCAGTCCCTAAGTATTATTCTTTTTATACTTATCCTGCTTGGGAGTTCACTGAACTTCTGGGATCTGTAAGGTGGTGTTTTACACCAATCTGAGAAGTTTTGACTCTTATTTCTTCGAACAGTTTTTCTGCCCTTTACTCACTCTTTTTTCTTCTTGGATTCCAATTACAAGTATCTGAACATTGTACCACTAATGCTTTAGGTTCTGGTAATCTTTCTTTAATCTTTTGTCTCCCTGTTCTTCAGTTTGGTTAATTTCTCAGCCTATCTCTTCAAGTTCACAGACTCCTTCATCTTTCTTCTCCACTCTGATGTAAGCTGATGCAGTGAAATTTCATTTCAGTATTATACTTTTCAGTTCTAGAGTTTCCATTAATTTTTAAAGTATTTTTCCCTTTCTCTGCTCAAGTATGAAGATAATATTTTTTTCCTTTAGTTCTTGGACATATTCTCATTTGATTCCCTAAGTATTTATAATCGCATATTTAAAAACTGTCCTCTGCTATATCAAACACCTACAGCAGTGCTTTCCAACAGAAACATAATGAGAGCTTTGTATCTAATTTTAAACCTTCTAGTAGCCACATCAAAAACATATGAACAGGTACATTTTAATAATGTATTTTTACATAACTCAAGGTATCCAAAATATTATTCTTTCAACACATAAGAATTAATGAAATATTTTTCAGTTATTTTTTTACATCAACTCCTCAAAATTTGGTGTGCACTCCATGCTTACAGCAAACACAATCGAGACCAGCCACATCCCATGTGCTCAACAGCCACACGTGGTTAGTGGCTACTGTGAGCATGGTGGAGGCCAACTTGTGTTCATTTTCTATTGACCGCTTTTTGCTGCAGCACCAGGCTATATTTCCTGTTTTTCTGCATATCTAGTGATTGTTTATTGAGAACTAGACATTGTGGATGGTATGATCTTTCTTTGAAGGCTTGTGATTCTTGTTTTAGCAGGCAGCTCAATTGTTGGTGATCATCCTGACCTTGAGAAGACTTATTCTTTGCTAGTGTGGATCTGTGGAAAGCTCCAGCCCCTTCATCTTCCCTGAACTCAGATCTCTGTGCCTCAACTTAGCAGGGCAGCCAGGCTCACTGAGATCCCAATCTCTGTGCCAAGGTCTGAAAATTTTCTCCAGGAAGAGAACTGGCAACTGTGGGGCTCACCTCACAGGGTGAGCTTTTCCACTTTCAGGTTCAGTCTAGTACTGCTTGTGGCCTGCAGCCTTAAAGTAGTGTATCATTTATTTTGTGCAGCTTTGCAGTTGTTTACAGTGCATGCATTAGTCTGGTACCACTTGTTTCATTATGGCTAGAAGCAGAAATGCTGGCAAATTAGCCTTACATTTTTATATGTAAAAACTAAAGGAAAGTTTCACCTACGGAAGACTGGCAGTGCAACAATCCTATTTAGATCTTTTCCAGAAACTATAATATTCGTCAGCAGCCAGTCATTTCATGCAGAGACTATAAACTTCAAGAACATTCTCTGAAGAGCAGAGGACACGAGATGAGTCCTAACAAATGTTATCAGCAACCAAGGAAAAGAGAACGAGAGAAAATGAACTACTGCATAAGGACAAAATAGAATGTGAATAAAAATTTTCAGGATGATAGTGCTGGTGTTTATGATTGTACAAAGCTATCCCATGTGATAGTCTCACTAGGGTTCCTGAAAGACAGCAACAAAATGTATTATGTGGTGTAAATGAAAATGCTGGTCAAATAATTAAATGCATATGTTTCACTGAAATAACATTTCCAATATTGTTCTTTTATATTTTGCAAAGACATCTGTACAAGGTTTGCTTTTCTGAAAGTTTTGCCTTTCACCACATATGACACAATAACATTTCTGAGGATAGAGTCAACATGTGAAAAAGCACATACACGAATAATCACATTGCTTCCTGCATTTTAAATTCAATATCTCTCATAAAAAGTGGCTGAGAAAAAGGGCCATCTCCCTGAATACTGTCTAGTTCCAAAGATTTGGTTAAAATATTTTAAATGGGTGTGTTATCCTTGTAAGTCCATTGTTTTTTTTTTTTAAAGATTTTATTTTTTTCCTTTTTCTCCCCCAAAGCCGCCCAGTACATAGTTGTATATTCTTCGTTGTGGGTCCTTCTAGTTGTGGCATGTGGGACGCCGCCTCAACGTGGCTTGATGAGCAGTGCCATGTCTGCGCCCAGGATTCGAACCAACGAAACACTGGGCCGCCAGCAGCGGAGCGCGTGAACTTAACCACTCGGCCACGAGGCCAGCCCCTTAGTAAGTCCATTCTATTTGTTACACAAACACATACAAAATAAAATTTTTCACCAAGTTATAAATTTTGGCAAACTATATCCATAAACTAAATAAATAAACAGGATTAAGTATATTAATTATGCTGATTTAAAAATAGTCCCAAATTACATTTTGTGGCTCAGCATAAGGAAGGAGAGTAAGTAAGCAAATCAGCAAAAAGGACTCCTTTCTTATTAGGATATTATATTCTTGAGATGAAGAATGTTTACTGGATTATCCGTAAATAAAAAACGAAATGACTAAGGTATACACTATTTAAGTTTTGTCTTATAAAGCTCAGGACTTTCACTTTTAAAGGCATGTAAAGCTGAATACTTAAGAGTTGTTTGAAGTAATATTGGATACACATGACCACATCTCTGAGCTCAAGTGTGTGCTTCTATTATGCTCACTGCTTTCAAACATTCTTAGGACTCAACTTCGAAATACTCCAAAAAGTGTTGTATATGTTCAACTATTCTTATTGTGCCCTCAGTTTCTCTCGTGAACAGAAATGGTGGCCTTTAGGGGCCAGCTCCATGGCCGAGTGGTTAAGTTTGAGTGCTCCACTTCAGCGGCCCAGGGTTTCGCGGGTTTGGATCCTGGTCATGGACATGGCACTGCTCATCAGGCCATGCGGAGGCACCGTCCCATATATCACAATCAGAGGCACTCACAACTAGAATATACAACTATATGCTGGGGGGCTCTGGGGAGAGGAAGAAGAAGAAAAAAAAGAAGATTGGCAACAGACATTAGCTCAGGTGCCAATCTTTAAAAGAAAAAATGGTGGCATTTTTAAAACTATTCGAAGTGGCCTGCAAGGTAACTTAGATCTGTACAGAAGATAGAATGGCAACAATGACACAAATAATGTTGGAACCAAAATCACAGAGAAAATATTGAGCAAATTAGGCTCAATCCTTCATGTTTCTAATAGATACCTGGATAATTTAACTTTTTGAAGATCAAGAGATATAGATCATAATTATTTGGGCAAAGTAGAGAACTTAGGTAGTTATATAAAATTCAAGATTAAATAAAAGCAGAAATATAAATGGGATATTACGTTTAACCATTTAGGTCAGGGGTGGGCAGGCCTATGGACTAAATCAGCCCTCTGCCTTCTTCTGTAAATAAAGTTTTAATGGCACGCAGCCACACTCAATCACTGACACGTTGCCTGTGGCTTCTTTCCCACTATAACAGCAGAGTAAAAAGCTGTGACAGACACCACATGGCCCACAGAGACCAAAATACTATCTGCATTTTATAGGAAAAGTTTGATGATACCAGATTTAGGTAATTGACTAAATTTTTCAATTCATTTGGTTTCTTAATATAACATTACAACAGATTTATATTTTAAAGACTTGAGAATAGGCATACACTAGTTTAAGCAGACTAAAAGTCCAACTTCAGTTGGAACTGTGGAGGTACAAACTCTTTTGTTATATGAAGAATTAAATAAAATTTTATAAGACTTTAAAAATCTGTATAATATTTATGAGTCTCAATGAAAAGTTTAAAATACACATTTATACAGATTATATAGATAATAACCTAATTTTCCTTCCAAGTTTAATTTAGAGCATATATACTGTTTCTGGACTTCTGGTTCACAAAGTCTGAATTATAGTATCATTATTTTGAAAGCTAAAAAGACCGTGATTGCTGGGTCAGTAGTAAATTAATTCTAAGGCATGCTCATCACTTTACGAAGCAGGCAGTGGGCCTGCGCTCACCTGGAGGTGTGTAGGCATCCATCGAGGTCTGCACAACCAAGGACCTGCGTTTGGAAGGCATAGGCACTGCCATCTTCCTTTCTTTGTGTTTAGCAAGCGCTGCCTGAACAGCTTCTGTATGGACATCTAAAACAAAAAGAGAGCTCAATTACTCCATTGTTCAGGAACATCCCAAAGGCCTCATGCTTTTTCTCCTTTCTCTCTGGTCCTGTAAAATAGTTTATCTTCCTACAGAAACTCACAAATGGATGGGTGGGGAAGGAAGGAAAAGTAGTATAAACCTGCTAGCTTGAAAGGTGCAGAAAGACGATGTTAAAATTCATTTGCAGTCTTTTATTATTCATTTTATTACCCTAAAATCTGTATAAATAATCAAATACTGGCTACAAACTACTGTGTGATTTTTTCTTTTCTTAGGGTGAGTAAACTTCAATCTTCAGATATTTCTTCATAGGTCCCATTTCCAACCTCATAATTCATTGCAATGTTCTGTTAAGGGAGATATGTACACCTCAGAGGTCATTAGCAATGATTTTAGGTAACACTTACCGGGCTCAGTGTTAGGCCTTTTGAGTTATTAACCCCAGAAATATTTATTGAACGCTACTTTGTAAGGCAGCATCCTCAGGGCTGGGAGTACAGCAGAGAATCAGGTAGACAAGGTAATGTGTCTCAGGCAGCTTACTTTCTAATGGGTAAGAGACAGTAAGGTAGTCAAGTAGGGAAGGAATTAAAACAGGATAAACAGACTGACTCAGTCGCTACTTAATTGTAAGGCCAGGAAAGAGTTCTCTCAGTGTGAAATCTGACCAGGAAGAATGACCAGCCATTTTGTCAAGATGAGACTCCCCAGGACACAGAGAAAAACCAGCTCGACAGCCCTAGACTGAATGAGAACAGAGTTGGCTGAATGAACCCAACACGGGGAGTTGGATGAAGGCTTCATGGGCGTGGTCAGTAGTCTGGTTCCTACACTAAGTCTGACAGGAAAGCACTGGGGGATTTGGGAGGGATGACATAATCTGACTCCACTTTGGTAGACTGCTCTGGCTGCTGTGAAGAAGACTGCAGGAGATCGAGAGTGGAAGCCAGGAACCCAGTTAGAAGGCAGCAGTCAGGCGAGAGACAATTTCACCCACATACTCTGCACAATTCTGTGGAGGCGGCCCTCAGTAGTCCCATTTCACAGAGGAGGAAGCAGAGGCATGAAGCTCTCCCAGAGTCATGAACCTGGTGAGTGGCATCCTAGGGTTGGCACCCAGGTGTGAACACCTCCAGGGCCACACCCTTCACAACTAAGCACACTACAGTCCAGCCGTTCCTGTGAAATCTGTAAATAAGTTTCTTTGGGACAAAGCGCACGCCCTCACATATGTGTAGACCATGGCTGCTTTCACACTGTTAAAGTAGAGTCAAGTAGTTGTGACAGAGATCATAATGGTCCAGAAAGCTGAAAATACTTGCTGGCTGGCCCTTTACAGAAAGCATTTGCCAACCCTGTTTTAGAGTGTATCACACACCAAATACAACAAACTTATTTATTGCTTTATTTTGTTTAGCTGTCATGTGCACTGCTCTTTTCTCCTCAGCTGGACTCAAAGTACTTTAACACAAAAACATAGTTTATTGTCACTCTTTTTCTTAAACTCTCAGAGTAAAACCTGGTGCTTGAATGACTTGGTTTCATGGCCTGAAACTAACGGGCTCATCAATGAGCTGGAGAGTACATCAATTCTTCACCTATTAAACACTTTCACTTTTACATATTTCCCCTTTTAAACTTTTTAGATATCATTTCAAATTTATAGAAAATTTGCAAAAATAATACAAAGAACTCCCATATATTTACACAAATTCACCGATTGTTTACATTTGATCCCAGTGCTTTTTTTCTTGCTAATCATTTAAAAATAAACTGCAGATACCATGCTCCTGTATCTCTAAATATTTCAAAGTATTTCCTAAGAACAGACATTCCCTTATGTGACATAAATTCTCAAAACCAGGACATTTAACAATGATACAAAACTACCATGTTATCCAAAGTCCATGTTCAAATGGTGCCATCTGTCCCAGTAATTTCCTTTTGGTTATTCCATCTTCCTAGTCTATGATCCAAGCCAGGACCGTGGATGCATCCACTTGTCACATTATCTTTACATTCCTTGGATCTGGAACAGTTTCTTAGCTTTTGCACTTCTTGAACTTGGCAATTTTAAAGAATTCAGGCCAGTTATTTTGTAGATTGCCTTCAACTTGGATTTTCTGACATTTCCTCATGATTAGACTCAGACGATACATTTTAGCAGGAACTGCAGAAGTCTGTCTTTTCCTGGCGGTGTTAACTTTGATCCTTGGTTAAGGTGGTGTCCACCAAGTTCTTCCAAAGTAAAGATGCTACTTTTCCTACTATGAACATATTCTGTTCTTCATCAATTGTTCACGTACTAGTTTTAGCATCCACTGATGATTTCTTAACTCCATCACTCCTTGTAAACCATTAGATCCTTCTACATGTATTAAAAAAATAAGTTATTAGTTTTCCCTTCTCATTTACTTATGTATATCACTATACACTCATGGAATCTATTTAATGGATTATAATTTATAGTTATCATTTTTTATTTTGAGGCTCACATGGCCCCAGTTTGGACCAGGAAAATCCCTTCAAGCTGGCCTCTATGTCCTGTTGGCAGGTCTTCATCATTTTTTAAACACTTTCTTACTTTCTGTTACAGCACATGCCCCAGACTCATGTTCTACTTTCCCTACTGCAGCCCTGGAATCAGAGACCTAGCTCCTTTTAGTAAACAATGGTATTTAGAAACTAAGATTTGGGCACTAGGTATGTTCATTGCTACCAGGAGTGTCTCCAGGCCCTCTCAGCAGACAGAACATACACACTTGTGCCCTTCACAGACACACACACACACACACACACACACCAATTTATACACACATATCTCGATAATACTTCTACCCACATCTATAGCTTTGAAAGCCACAGGTTCAAACTAATATCTCCCATTTCAATCCAACATTATATGATTCATTCTAGCCTTTAACTTTTCCATAATTCTAACTCTTTTATCCAAGAAAATTAGCTCCTATTATCCTCAATATATTCACTAATTTGCTTAAGCTTGGGAGATACAGAAAGTAATTTTAGAACTGCTAGCTAATACCAGTGTGAAATTAATGTTGTGTCTAGTTTTGGCCTATTATGAAAATCTATTGTGAAGATTTATACACATGCATTTATATGGACAGCCATTTTCATTTCTCTTGGGTAAACATCTAAAAGTGTCATTGATGGGCTGTATGGTAAGTGCATGTTTAAATTTTAAAGAAATCATCAAACTGTTTGCCAAGTGGTTATAATATTTTACATCTGCATCAGTAAGGTACAAAATTCGTCTCGCTATATCTTTACCAACACTTGGTACCGTCAGTCTTTTCCCTGGTAGCCATTCTCATGGTAGTGAAGTACTAACTCATCATGGATTTAAGTTCGCATTTACCTGACAGCTTCTGTTGAGCACCTTTCATGGGCTTATTGCACATTTGTATATCACCTGCTGTGAAGCATCTGTTCAAGTTTTTGTCGATTTTTGAGGTGCCTTTTTAGTACTGATTTATAGTAGTTCTTGATATATTATGGGTACAAGTTATCTTTTAGATACATGTTTTGAAATTATTTACCCTGAGCCTGTGGTTCACCTTTCATACCCTTAACAGAGTACCTGATGAGAAATTTTTAATTTTCATGAGATTCACTTATTTTTTCCTTTCTAGTTAGTGTTTTTTGAATGCTATGAAACCTTTGCCTATCTGAAGGTCCAAAAGTTACTCTCCTTTGTTTTCTTCCAGAAGTGCTATAGTTTTACCTTTTACGTCTAGGTCTAGAAGCCATCTCAGGTTCATTTTTCTAAGTAGTGGAAGTTGATGTTGGAATTCACTCTTTCCCCATATGTTTACCTAATTTTTCAAGTACCATTTGTTCTAAAGATTTTCCTTTTCTCATTAAATTACCTTGGCTCCTCTGTCAAGTACCACCTGACTCTATAGGTATGGGTCTGATCTTGGACTCTCTATCTGGTGTAGTTAACCTATGTGTCTAACCTTCTAATAGTTCTACACTATTTTGATTTTTGTAGGTTTTTTTGTTAGAATATCATTTATTGAAGCCACATCTCAGAGAAATTTATATTTTACCAATGTTTTTTACTGTGGCAAAAAACAGGTAACCTAAAATTCACCCTCCCAACAACTTCCGTGTAGTCAGTACTACACTGTCAATCACATGCACATGGTTGCGTAACAGATTCCCAGAACCCCCCATCCTGCATAACTGAAACTCTACGCTCACCTGACAGCAACTCCTCCACCAAAGCAGTGGCACCCCCATTCTATTTTCTGTTTCTATGAGTTTCACTACTCTAGGTACCTCATATAAGCGGGATCATGCAGTTTTTGTCTTTTTCTGACTGGCTTATTTCACACAGCATAACGTCCTCAAGGTTCATTCACGCTGTAGCTGTGTCAGAATTTCCTTTCTTCTTAAGGCTGAATAATATTCCCTTGTATTTATATACCACATTTTCTTCATTTATCCATTGATGGATATTTAAGTTGCATCCACCTCCTAGCTATTGTGAATAACGCTGTTATGATCACAGGCATAGAAACAACTATTCAAGTCCCTGCTTTCAATTCTTTCAGATACATCCCCAGAAGTAGGATTGCTGGATCATACGGTAATTCTATTTTTAACTTTTTGAGGAACCTACATATTGTTTTCCACAGCAGCTGTACCATTTCACATTCCTATCAACAGTGCACAAGAGTTCTGATTTCTCCACATCTTCCCACCAACAGAGCCAACAGCTGGTGCTTCATCAAAATAATAGTGTGGTGCTTCACCAAAAGCACCAAACAACAGCTGCTCTTTTAATAGTGGCCATCCTAACAGGTGTGAGGTGATATCTCGTGGTTTGATTTGCATTTCCCTGATGATTAGTGACATTGAGCATCTTTTCAGACATCCACTGGTTATTTGTAAATCTTTGGAAAAGTGTCTTTTTAAGACATTTGACCATTTTTTTAATTAGCTTATTTGTTGTTAA